GAGGGCTATATTACATCTGCTGCTATATACACTTACCCTGGAATAAAACCTGTTGAAAACAACAGGACTTACTTCTGAGTGGGTATCTAAGCTGGAATGCACCGTTAATCTGAAATGTTTACTCTTCAAGCCAAAAGTCATGATTTCTAAGACACATGGACACAAATGTTTGTTTTACAAGCAGACACAGTCTTGAAAATACAAGGCTGGGCTAAAGTTCAGTGGAAGAGCACATGCTTTGTGCACAGAAGGTCCAAGGTCCAATTGTAGCTACCACCAGGTAGCGTTACAGCTCTTACATTACCTATAGGTGATGCTGGCTAGCAATTCTGGCAACTGCGATATGAAAAGACAAGCCTTTCAAGGTCTGTGCCCTGCTGATGAGAACAGAGCAGGTGTAAATGGAACATTTCCCGCAGTCAACACAGTGATAAAATAATGCATATACCTAATGTAACTAGGGATGTGGTGGCACTGCGGGTTAAACCGCAGAAGCCTCTGTGCTGCAAGGTCAGAAGACCAGCCATTGTAAGATCAAATCCATGCAACGGAGTGAGCTCCCGTCGCTTGTCCCAGCTCCTGCCAACCTAGTAGTTCGAAAGCATGTAAATCCAAGTAGGTACCACCGCAGTGGGAAGGTAACGGTGTTCCGTGTCTAGCCGTGCTGGCCGCATGACCACAGAAAATTGTCTACGGACAAACGCTGTCTCCACGGCTTGAAGACAGGAATGAGCATTGTGCCCGAGAAAAGCGGACACAACTGGACTAAATGTCAAGGGGAACCTTTAATGTAACTAACTGACAGGATATTAATTAATGTTTTGTCTTCAAATAAGACAGTTTAGATCTGGCTGATCTTTTAAGAGGGAAAAAAATCTTCACAACTAACAATTGAAGGCTAACAGCAAAGTCCAGGGTCCGTTGTAATAGATTTTGCATGCCTTAAATGACTACAACGAACCATTTTATATCACTGTCATAAAATTGGAACTGTCAAATAGCCAGAGACTATACAACACCAATATATTCCTCTACTGCAGATATTATTTGACATTTTCATTCTCTTGGGTCTAATATCTGAATTCCCAACCAGCACCCTAGTAAAGGGGCACTCAAATATTCCAAACTGCTTACAATGCCCTGTACTTGAAATAAAATAAGGAAACAGAAAATAAAAACGAAAAATTATCCACTCCCATACATTCCGCAGCAGGTCAAAGTAATTTACCAGAACTACAGTTTTCGAATTGCGGCTTAAAATTGCATACGCAGCCTAAATCAATACCAGACATTGCAATTTTTTTAAATGGAAAGAACTTGCTAATCCACTGGAAACTGGTTTTAAAAAATAGATGGGAATTGCTTTCAAGCTCAGATGCCGACAAAGCTAATAAGGAAGCAGCAAACTTATACTGAAAACAGGGCTTATCGCTCGCTCTCCTCAGAACTTCTGTCTAAAGCTATTCTGGGGTGAAGGACAAAGACTTATACCTATCAGGTATGAAGGTCACCACCTTCTATCTCCAGTGAAATGATCACATGCCATTGAAGGACCATGGGACTTTTCTGTTAAAGCCAGGTAAAATCATTACAGTAAACACTTTCCCATTTCCAACGCAACCCTCATGTATTGCCTGCAAAAATATAAAAATACACCTTGTACTGGAAGGGATGCAAAATGTCCAGAAACCAGTTTTCAGATTGTACATATGGTTAAAGAAGAGGAGGAAATTTCTGTTAAAATTAACCATAAAACACTGTTTTATGTGTGTATGATTTTTTTTCTAACCACTGTAACTGTTCATATGGGGACTTCCATGCCCTTTCCGTGTTTCTCCTCTAATTATCTTTGCATATTCCTCCTCCCTTCCCAGTGGCTAATGGTACAACACAGCTGGTGCTCAAAAGGGAAGGCAAGGCAAAACTGGACAAGAAGGAGGAGAAGCAAGAGCCCACTTCGAATCACTTAATCATTTTTAGGACATTACCGGGGTTGCTTCTGCATCAGGCGTTACAGCAGAAAATCCGATTAACAGCTGCAGCATTGGTCAGATTCTAATAGTCTTTTATTTCTTAAACAATCTTCCTGTTTACCCCCACAGGTTGTTATTAAGGAGTGCAGTCAGATTGCAGGTGAGAAAGACTGAAATAATTCTGAGCAAATTTTAAAAAATCCTTATTTCAATGAAGATTTCGCACTCAAAATGCAGTAGCTGTCCTACCTTGAGAGCAACTCCTGCTAGCTAAAATAAATTTCTTTGTTACACGTTAATCATGGAGACGAAGGCAATCTGTGACTCTGTATGCAAACTGCAGGTGCCATTCTAAGGTGGAGGAGAAATAAAAAAAAGAAAAGGCTGAATGAGTCCTGTGAAGGTTTCATTTGCAAGGCTGTTTCCATGGTTCTGAGCCGATCTTTGCATGAGGAGCGAATATATTCCCGCCCATGTTTCTTGCCTTCGGTATCTAACGAACTGCACTCCCAAAGCCACCCACCTTTTGTGCAAGCGCTGAACCACAAAGGATTCGGTCTTACGAAATGGAGGGTGTTCTCCAGCTCTACAAAACTGCTGTGCCAACCTGCCAGAAACCTGATCAAACTTTGCAAAGTAAAAACAAAAAGTAACAATATGCACAGGGCAGGGTACTCATACCGCCTGCATGTTTTACAATCCACCTCCCTCTGGTCTCCGTGTTTATGCATACACACACCTTATAACATATCCCATCGTGTGTATATGTACTTTCACTTTAGAGTTAAATGTTTTACACATCTGTTGAAGGAAGGCTACAGTCTATGAAAACTTACACCCTAATAAAACGTATAAGCTCTTTTTCTTTTTCCACCTTAATAAAATGTGCTTGCCTCTAAACACATTTAACACCATTTATTGTTTCTACTGTAACAAATTACTTGAAATTAAAATATTGAGGAGGGCAGGTTGGCCACATTGAGAAAGTTCTTGTTGTTGTTGTTTAGTCATTAAGTCGTGTCTGACTCTTCTTGACCCCATGGAGCAGAGCACGCCAGGCCCTCCTGCCTTCCACTGCCTCCTGGAGTTGGGTCAAATTCATGTTGGTCGCTTCAGTGACCCTGTCCAACCATCTCATCCTCTGTCGTCCCCTTCTCCTCTTGCTTCCATATTTTCCCAACATTATGGTCTTAAGAGAAAGCCCTTAGGTCTACCCTGATCTCAGACTGCATAGGTAGGAACCAGAGATGCACTCCTTGTCTCTCATGCACATGCATCCAGGATTCACATACCAAAAACCTGAATCACCTGTCTTAGACAATGCCTCATCCTGCAATCACCAACACAAGGATAATATTGGCCTACATACTTCATACTAGAGACAGGAAAGATTTAGCTCTTGGAGTACACCTCCCATGTGACAGTGGACACAGCAGCCATGACATTTAGGTAGTTATGGTCCATCTGCACTTTATAAAATTCTTGCCAGCATCATGCCTTGTTCCTGAAGGTCAAGAGTAGGTGCGGGTTTTTGTGGAGCCAAACCATACAGTATATCGTAGGTACAAGCGGGAAAGATGGGGCAGGTTAGCTTGCAATGGGTCGGAGAGCCTCCAAGTTTGAAGAAGTACACAAAATCGTTAGTTGGGGGAAATCAAAACAAGCCCTGTGGACGAAGCATATTCTGTGGTTATGGAATGCTGGAGACACAGGATGGAAAACTAAGAGGCAGGAAAATGGAAGATACTGGAATAGCTACCCGGCTTGAATATTAAGCATTCAATGCATTTTGTTGCACAACCGACTCGTTACTTCAGTAAATGTGAAGCAATAAAGAAATACCCAGCCACTCATGAGACACTGAAACAATGCAGTTTATGATCCAAGTATAATCATTTCAAGCAGTTGCAGAAAAGACAAATGGCTTTGCACAAGAGAACTTTCTAGATAATTTTGTCCTCAGACTCTAACATACAAATTAGGTACAGGACACTCCCCTTCCTCCCCGAAAGGTCTGCTTAGCAGCTGCCAGCCACACAAGGGTGTGTTGTAGCAACACAAGAACAATGGAGTCGATGATGTCAACAAACTTCTTGCACTCAGCAACTTTTTACAGCAGTTGTTTAACAACCGTAGCCAGTAGAGCACAATGTATGTTCTTTAGACGTGGCAGATAGGCTTCCCATCCAGCTTAATCAGACAACCAGTTCCCATCTGGACATTAATTAAGAGTATCAGTGTAGTTAGTGGAATTCTCAACGGCTTGGTAGTCGTACGTCTGTGTTCACAAATATTGTCACTTTGTTTATTGTACGTAAGCTCATGGGTCATATGGAGGTGGGTCTATAGATATTTAGACAGGTGAAGTATTTTCCTATGCACAGGCAAATATTTATAGGTATAATTAAATAAAGAGGCCATATATTGGCAGACCTGTGCATGAGAATTTTGATCGCCTGAAATAAAACGGTTAGTCTTTAAACTGCTAAATTTAGAGAATCTTGTAGAGTGCAGGCGGCATACACAGACAGACAGACAGACAGACAATTTTTCCTCTCCCATTCTTTTGCCAATATAAACTATTAAACATCTAAGATACCCACTTGCAGGCACAGGTAGATGTTTTTTGCCAATGACTTAAAGATCAAGAGGGACATGGTGGCACTGCGGTTTAAACTGCAGAAGCTTCTGCGCTGCAAGGTCGGAAGATCGAATCCACGCGATGGAGTGAGCTCCCATCGCTTGTCCCACCTCCTGCCAACCTAGCCATTTGAAAGCATGTAAAAATGCGAGTAGATAAACAGGCACCACCTCGATGGGAAGGTCACGGCGTTCCGTGTCTAGTTGCGCTGGCCATGTGACCACGGAAACTGTCTTCAGACAAGCACTGGCTCTACGGCTTGGAAACAGGGATGAGCACCGGCCCCTAGAGTCGGACATGACTGGCCTAAATGTCAAGGGGAACCTTTACCCTTTTACCTAAAGATCAAGACACAGAGCAAACCTAATGAATAATGAACTGTTTACCTGACTAGGCTGAACTTTGGGCACATACACTTTCCACATTTGAGCTTCTCTAGCGATTGCCATCTCCAGCAGGAGAGGTAACCTCTGGCTCTCCAGGGCTCCTGAAAACTTCATGGTACCCCTTGGGTCTCCCTGCCACCCAACTGGATACAGCTACCTGCAAAGGGAGAAAGAGAAAAGTTAGTGATTTAGCTATACAAGGTGTGTACTTTCATGTACATCTTGGAAACTTTACATTTTTTGGACTACACTTTCTGGAGATTAGTCCACACCTCCTTCCCCAAAAGGTCTGCTTTAAATTAGGAGGTTCTGGAGATCAGGGACCCATCTTTGAATTGTCATCAAGGAACTTCAAGATAATTTTACTCTACATTCAAACCAATTTCCCTTCCCTGCACTCTGTTCCTCTATTTCTCTTCCTCAGAAAGTTGATCAGAAATGGCTCAATACAAAGATCAGTAACAGTGGACAAACTTGCCCTCAAGAACAGCATAGCATCTTTCCCTACATAGTCAAACAAGTGGTGGGAGATGGAAAAAGTGAGTTTTTTAGCTGACATTCTAAGGTCACGCTGGGCCATGGGGAGGTTTCACAAGACTAGCCTTTGATGAACTCTCTTTGTGTATGTATCTACTCTGGAACACATTCCAAAATCTTTTGCTATCTACTGGGATTTGATGGCAGAAGTTCTGCAGGTGACAAGTCCAGGTTGATTTGACACCTGAAATACTCCTTCACCCAAGGAACTACGTGGAAACTGAACATTAGTGGCAAACACAATTTCTACAGATAAAGGCAGTGTAGCAGAACCACCTTATTTCTCTAGATCATAAGACACGTTTGCATCAGTGAGAATGAAACATTTTCATAGAATAATTGAGTTAGAAGGGGCCTACAAGGCCATGAGTGTAGAATAATTGAGTTAGAAGGGGCCTACAAAGCCATTGAGTGTAACCCCCTGCTCAAGGCAGGAAGCCAAGTCAAAGCAGATCTGACAGAGGGTTGTCCAATTTCCTCTTAAATGCCTCCAGCACTGGAACATTCATCGGCTTCACCGGTGTACTGCTCTAACGGTTAAGAAGTTTGGTTGCTAAATTTCACAGGAGTTTCCAAAAACTCTTGCTATAGGTTAAGTACATATACAATCTACACCATTTGTTTTATTTTCCTGGTGGGAACACCCCCACCCCCCAAAAAATATCACAGAGCAAAAGACCTCAAATGCTAACGTCCAAAAATCATTAGCAGGTATCACAGTTTAATGAACTCACAGAGCGTGACAGGAGCCACCATGCTCATTTCAGTGATTTGTGCCCCGCTCCAGACAGGGAAACCTGCTTATATTTCTACATGTCCGCACAGGTTCTTTGTATAAAGCCATTCAAATTTATCAGTCATTTGGAATTGTGAATGGCTTTGGGGTGAGGGGCACCGGTTTAGTGAGGGGCACTATTTTATAATGGTCAATTTTGGAGCTGATTGGCTAATATTATGTTCTACCCTTGAAATCTAACCAAAAGGGTTTCTCGGGATTTCATGTCAACTTGCATGCTTTTTAACGTATAGACATCTCCTGGTGGAACCAAGTCCAATCTCAAGATTTGGACAATATGTGGGGGGGAGCCAGAAATATGAGAAAGCGAGTGAATTCACAAGATGTGACCACTTTGCTAAAAGCGAAAGAATGTGTGAACACTACTGCAGCCTCCACTGGAAAAAATAGGAAAATGCAAACTTCGAAGATCTGCGTACAGAAAACTCTGGACGGTTCTACAAGGTCTAATCCAGTTAAAAACAAGCAAAACGCACAAATGCACCATGCTTATTTAAGCCTATCATTGCTTTTCTGCATTTGTTTGTAAAAATCATGAAAGAAATAGCAAAATAAATTACACAGAAAGAAAGTCAAATAAGCATGCAATCAGATAAATCTAATTTTCTCCAGAGTATCATCACTGCTAGCTGCAGTTTAAGCAACATATGCAACTTGATACTATTTTGCCAAGGATACGTTGCATGCATTTACAGGTTCAGGCAGGCCACTCTGAAAATCCCCTCTTTTAAATCTGAAACTGCTAAGAACAGTGAGCTAGAACGGGGCCTGTGAGTAGTTTCATTCAGCAGGTAGAATACTCCATGAGACAAACACTTTTGGAGTAACCAGCCAAAATGAGTTGAATCTGATAAGAAGTAGACTTGGAAAGGAAGGGACGTTGAACATTTGAGAGAACACTTGTTCTCTGTTTACACAGATCCTCCATCATCATCATCATCATCATCATCATCATCATCATCATCATCATCATCATCATCATCCTGCAGATTTGGAAGGGACCCTATATATTGAGTCCAGCCCCTGTTGAGGAGGAATGGAGGGGAATCAAACTCCCAAATTCTGTCAACCTAAACCACTGAGCTATCCGGTAGTTCAATTCATGTCACATGAACTACCAAATTATAGAATGCCAAACTACATGTTTTTGGCCTAGATCAAGTTTCCATCTGCAGGACCCCCAACAATCTATTTTGTATCCTCACTCCTGTATTAGCTGTGCAGCAGCATCTGAAGGTTAAGCAAGGGGCACAACCAAAGTTCCCTCTAAGCCAGGCACGCGTGAGTCTCCGCCTCCCTCCATGCATCTCTCTTACTCCTCCGCATAGCGATCACATCCAACCCCTTTGGTTCGGGTCGCGACAGAACCCTACACGCAGGGGGTGGCAAGTTGCGCATACATGCGCGGGTGAAGTTGTGCGAGAGAGAAGCAAGAGTTGTTGCAATCACAAAAATTAATAACTAGCACACCATTAAAGTACACTAACTATGCAACAGAATGACAGCAATGTATTTGACACTCCCGGTAGCTGCTCTCTAGTCCTGGAACATACTGTTTCTTGACGTTTGCCAAAGTCACAGCATATACACCACTTAAAGCCAAGTTAAGAGCAGTTTCAAGTATGTCGGAGAAGAAGAACAGACAAGAAATGTTTGTTCCTTGCTTGTTGATTCCACACTTAAGTCCGTCCAAAACTGGATGTTTGTCTCTTTCCGCTTGAGGACTTCATATAAACCAGTGAAGTAAGAAAAGCAGGAATCACACTTATGCCACCCATGATAAACAACGGCCAACTGGGTAATTGCACCGACAGCAAATCTCAGACAGGGCAACTTCATTCCCATTTCACCTGCACAGCAAGAAGCTTACGTTCTTTTCTTCCACCCTTTGTGGCAGTTGAAACTCTGCCCTGGAGAGATCCCCCAGCCCTCTACAACACCCTTAAGGGATACGAGGGGTGGGGTGGCCTGCAGAGAGCTCTGCCATCTTTAATATTTGTCCAACAGACTTCTTGTACCAACATAAGGACCCAAACGCATCCTGGCCATGGATACTAAATTCAGACAGCTTTGCCTTCTATTTCCCCATGTATCTCTACCTCAGCCCAAAACGACTTTAAGGTTTCTTCATCTGCGTGTTAGTCATTCTGGCAACACATGATGATATGGTAGCAGAAATTAAAATATACGCCTTGAGGTTTTCATGTGAGCCGGTCATAAAAACAAAGTACTAGTAAATTGGTTTTGGTTTATTACATTTGTCTGCAGAAGCAGCTAGAAAAGTGCCTTCTCTCACACTATATTCTCCAGCTGCTTGTTGTCATTTGTTCATTATATGTGTATTCTGCCTTTTTTTTCAAGGAAGTACACATGGCTAGCTTGATGTCCTCTTTTATCTTCACAAGAGTCCACTAAGCTAAGTCAGACTAAGAGAGCACAGCTGCCCTAAGGGAGTGTGTTTCGCGACCAAACAAAGATTCAACCCCATGTCTGCTATGTACTCATCCAACAATCTAAAGAAATCATTCCCAACCTTGAATTCCCCAAATGTTCTTGGACTAAAATTCCCAGAAGCATTCCCCATTGGTTGTGCTGTCCAGGATTTCTGGAAACCCTGCTCTAAATGGTACAACACAAGGACACTTATTTTTGTTGTTTAGACCAAAATGCATTGCCTGATTTTCATTCAAACCAATCCCACACTGCAGGTGCAAGTCCATGAGGGGAAAAAAGCACTTTGGCTGGGAGCTACTTCAGCCAGATTGCGAAAACTGAAACATGAGCCATGGATACTGGCCAGCTTCTTGGCCAAGCTGTTGACAAAGGACTGAGATTTTAAGACGCATGGATGGTCTATGCGCACCTGTGAGATTGAAATGGTCAGCAAGTTAGCTTTTTCTCTTCACTTATTTATACTGCAAAGGGTAGCGTTGGACGTAAATGATAACACAGCAACAATAAAAAAAAAACATCTGTTTAACTTTCACAAAGTTCATTCCACCACAACAGATTCCATCTTCGTGGGCCAGAGATTTCACAACCTGTCTTGGCATCTGAAATGATTGACTTGAAGAAAAGCACCTCTTGACAGCCTTTTACTGACACGCAAGTTCCCAGGGCAAAGATCTCTCTCTCTCTCTCTGTGCACACCCAAAATGCATACAGTACTGTATTTCTCTGTGTATAAGACACCCCCATGTATAAGACGCACCCCACTTTTCTAATCCAAAATTAAGAAATCTAAGTGGGGCTTAGGAAATGTAGGGGAAAGGGATCAAAGCGCTGCAGGATCGCTTTGAACCCTGCTTTCCCCTCCACTTGTTTTTGTTCTCTCCTCAGCTTACTTCCGTGTATAAGACGACCCTCAATTTTTAGTCTAAAGATTTTAGACAAAAGTATAGTCTTATACATGGAAAAATACGGTAATTTGCATTTTGCAGGCTTCAGACCCATATTGTGTGCTTCTGAGCAAAGAGGAACTTGAACACATAGGAAAAGTGACAGGACAACCCTGTCACTTTTCCTATGTGTTCTAGAGCTTGGATAGCTCCGTGTTCGGGCTACATTTTCCAGAACCCTCAAGCAAAGATTGCTGGCTTCAAGATTTGGGGAGCTGCAGTTCAAAGAAAGAATTATTCCATGATCTGATCTGGGACTCATGGCTCTAGGTATAGAGTTACTCTGCAGCTGAGTTACCTATATCCTGAAACCAACAAAAAAAAATTCCTCTTAACACATAACTAGATTCCCCCAAATTTGGTGTAGAACACTCCTTTTGTAAAGCAGCTAACTCAACTCACCGCAAGTGGTAGAGCATTCCTTGG